TTGCCAGCAATCCTTGGTGTTCCTTGATTTGTGGTTCATCACCCCAGTCTCTGCCTCCACTGTCACATGGTGTTCTCCCTGTGTGTCTCCTCCCTGCCTTTGCTTGGTCTTCTGTAAAAACACCAGCCAGCCGTCAGGGGCACCTGGATGGCTCAGTCAGTTGAGCAGCTGCCTTTGGCTCAGGTCATGATCCCAGGGTCCTGGGATAGAGTCCTGTACCGGTCTCCCTGCTCAGCAGGGAGCCTGCTTCTCCCCCTTTCACTGTCCCTCTCTGCCCAGCTCATGCACTCTCTCTCTCTCTCACTCACTCTCTATCAAATAAATAAATAAAATCTTAAAAAAAAAAAAAAGATACCAGTCATTAGATTAAGGGCCCACCCAACTGCAGTATGACTTCATCTTAACTTAGTTACATTTGTAAAGACCTTATTTTCAAATAAGATCACAATCTGAGGCTCCAGTTGGAAATGAATTTTGGCAGAACACCATTCAATGTAGTCCACTATTCAAACTTGAAATTTCCACTGTTATATTAACCCATATATTTCAACTCAGCTCTCTCCTTTCTTCAAGTCAGACTTCTTCCACACCACAACAAATAATCATCTTTCTTTTTTTCCATTATTTTTTTTAAATATAGCCAATACTGTCCCTCTCCTGCTTAGAATCTTACTCTGCTTCTCCGTTGGTCTCAACTAACCTTTCAAACCAAATCATGGATGATTTGGGATTTTATGTTAAAATGTTTGAGTCTTTATTACACTCCATAGAGCAGCAACTGATACACTTTTTCTCCAGCTGTATACTTTGACTTGAATATTTTCCCTTTATATTGTCAAAGTGCCATTCATCTTTCATTGTGAAATCATCCCTGACTACAACCATCCATTTTACCTCATCAAAAGAAGTCATCCCTTTGTATTATACTAAAGCAACAAGTTTAAGCTAGAGCATATGTATCACTGAGTGTACATGAAAACTATCCAAGAGTCTTAAAAAATACAAGATAGTTTTAAAAGAATCAATTTCAAGATCCACATCTTACTTAGGTATTCTTTCTTAAAACTGATATCCCGAGTATACCCACAGACCACAAATTTCCCTTTCCTATCTCCCCTTTCACAATGGATTTTCTCCTGTTTTGCAAAAGACAGACCTACTTCTAATCCATCCCAATATTACTATGATGCATTTTCCATGGAGGAGCAAAAGCTCCTGCAACCCAAGAACAATTGTCAAATATGTAATTTTTTTGGCCTATATCTCTAATTGAATTTCTTTTTTTTTCTAATTGAATTTCAAGAAATGAGGACTACTGTGATATTATTTTTTTATCAGCTCTTTTTTAAAATGAGTGTTCTCTATACTCTTATCAAAAAAATTAAAAGAACAAATGTCATTCTAACTAATTTTTTATTCTCCCATAGATACATATACAAATTTTAAAAGCCTCACTCATCTCAATAATAGTTTCAGTAAGATTTTCCTTCTATTTTTCTTTACCAAAATTTATAAAATGTTTGCACATTTATGTAAAATATGGTTCATTAAGGAATTATAAGGAATAATTCTTCAAAAATTATAGTTAGTAATATGAATAAGAAATATCAAATATCATTCAAATGAAGCATAGTTACATAAGGTATAGCCATTGCTTCTCTCTTCTACCCTCATTTGTTTGTCTCATAAAAACACAAGTTTCTTCTTCTTTTTTTGCCTTTTTTCATTCAGTCACAAAATTACCTCAAGAAAAAATACATTCATATCTTCTGTGTATATGTAGGTAAGGGAGAAGATGGACAGGGATTACTCTACATGAGAAGCTGGGGGGAAAAAAGATGAAATAAATTGACATATTAATGCTCAGCTAATAAAAAAAGAAAAATATATAGCTATTTTTTTATTTTATTTTTTATAAACATATAATATATTTTTATCCCCAGGGGTACAGGTCTGTGAATCACCAGGTTTAAATATATAGCTATTGAAAGACAGCTATGCATTTAAAATGCAGGTATGCTTTTTAATATAATTTTCAGCATTCTAATCATGAGGTAGGTTTGCACAGTAAAAACTAGTGTGATTAAATGGCAATTATATGGTCAATTAGGGCTTATTGATGATTCAGGAAAAGAAAAAAACATGCTTCTTAAATCTTAAGGCTTGAGTTAGACATTTTAACAGTTTGAATACCTGACATTTCAGTTAATGATCCACCAGCTCTCAACTTCACTTCCTATAGATTTTTTTAGTGCACTGAGGCACATCACATAAGGTCAAACAAAAGGTTGGAGGTAGTGGGTTTATTTATTCAATAAAGATTTATTAAAGCCTATCTTGTCCTAGGTCTTGGGGAGTATAAAGTAAACACACATAGTTACTGATTTTGAGAACTTCAGTCTATGATGCCATCTACATTCATCTCTTCAAACATCCCATATACATTGATGACCACCAAGGTTTTGTCATAAGAACTGGATCCCAAATATCTCCTCACTAGCATAATCAAGGTCCTATCACACAATGTCCTACAAATGCTTTGAATTAAATATATACACACAAAAAAGTGATTTTCAACATACCTACTATATACAAACATCTCCTTTCTAAATTCTTTTTTATATTAATGTCATCTTCATAAATCTAGACTCTAGTAATAGAAACTTAGAAGTTATTCTTGATTTCTTATTTGGATTTATCCAAAAGACCCAGAAAGTTCAACTCCTTTCATTTCTGCCTCTAAATTATTTCTTTAGTCCCTCTCCTTTTCCCTTAACAGTTCTAACTTAATCCATTCACCTCTTTCCTTGTTTCCATGCATTTACACTGTTCCTCTTCAACTTTGCCCCTATTGCTACATCTCCAAAAATATCTTCTCATACCCTTCATTTGCTCAATACTCTGCATTGGCTCCCATTACCTTACAGGTTAATGTCCAAACTCATAAGTAGGTCATACAGAAACATCATAACCTGACTCCACTCACCTTTCCATACTGCCACTTCCACCATCCCTGCTACCTGACTTCCTGCATGTACACATTCTGTTCTAGTCACATCACCTCACATTAAACTATGAGCATCCATAGAGTTAGTCTCCATTTAACTCGTCTTTTTATTCCAGTATGTAGGGTAAAAACTCAGTAACTGCTTGATGGATGAGTAAACTCCTAGGCATGCTAAGAGTTTAAGAAGAAATCAGTAAAATTGATGGATGAATAAACTGCTAGTCATGCTAAGAGTTTAAGAAGAAATCAGTAAAATGATATATATGACATTTCTTAATCAGAAAAAAAAAATTTCCAGTTTTGAAGACCTAATGTCTTCCTACTTCTATATTTTCAAAAATATATCGGATTTTTCTTCCATTGCATCTCAGTCTTCACCATTCTTGAGAACACTTATAAAGCTCTTAGTGTGACATGCTTGAAGACTCTCAATGATGAAGCAGAACTTTTAAAAGAGCATAAATTATACTATAATAAGAAGGGAGGAGAGACACACTAATGGTATGGGAATCTCTACTGGGTAGAGAATGGAGACTAGTGGAGAGGGGCTCATATTAAGGTCCTCTTTAAATACAACCCACAGATTAACCAGTTCCAATGTGAACCCCATGGGTTCCAGTTTGGTGAGATGGAAAGGGCAGATATGAATGTAAGGAAGTAAGAATGGATTAAAACCTATGTGGGCCTGTGTAGACACGGTGTCAGACTTCAGGAGAAAGGTAGAGAGTGAGTTAGAAGTCTGAGGAAAACCTGTGAGGGAACTCAGATCCTTATGAAGTATACCAGTTGGTATATTATACCTCATACTAATCTGTTTGTATGTTTTCTTAGAAGGGAATTGGATTAAAGCATACTAGATATACTCTTTTTCTATCGCCACATAAGAAATTATCACAGACAAACCATAAGAGACTCTTAATCTCGCAGAACAAACTGAGGGTTGCTGGGGGGAGGGGGGGAAGGAGAGGGTGGTGAGGTTATGGACATTGAGGGGGGTGCAGTGGTGAGTGCTGTGAAGAGTGTAAACCTGGTGATTCACAGACCTGTACCCCTGGGGCTAAAAATACATTATATGTTTATAAAAAAATAAAAAAATTAATTAAAAAAATTATTACAAACTTCATGATTTAATGTCTATTTAATACCTCACACTTCTGTAGATCAAAGGTCTGAATGACTCTGGGTGCTCTGTTTTAGGTCTCACACAGGTGAAATCAAGGTGTCAGCCAGGCCAGGCTGGGCTCTCACCTGCAGGTGCCAGAGAAGAATCCACTTCCAAGTTCATTCAAATAATTGGCACAATTCAATTCCTTGTGATTGTAGGACTGAGGTTCTTGTTTTCTTGTTATCAGCTAGCCAGAGATCAATCACTCTCAGCTCCTAGAGACTTCATATAATCTTATCAGGGGGCTCCTTTGTTCTCCAAATCCAAAAATGGAGAATTTCTCTCAAGTGAAATCTCCCTTATGCTTCAAACTTCTGACTTTCTGCTCTGTCACTAGCTGGAGAAACTCTCTGCTTTTAAAGGGCTTATCTGATTACATCAGGCCCATTTGTATCAACTTCTTACCTTAAAGTCTACTGAGCCATATAACACAAACTAATTATGAGAGTAAAATCCACCATATTTATTGTCTCCAAAATTATGCAAAATATGTACACCAAAGGGCCATCTTAGAATTCTGCCTACCATGCCAGGTGAAGTTTCTTTTCTTTCTTCTAATAATACAATTTAATAGCAGAATCCGAGTCATCAAGATTTAATATTATAAAGAATGGACTTTTACTATTTGTGGATTCTAATATTTCACTAGCAAATCTGTATTCCATCAGTACTATTTCCATCAAACTTAATTTTTGAATTTTTCTCTTCAGTCGCAGAAAGGAGCAGATAATAACATAGGGTCTATAACAAGGGTGAAAAAAATTAATCTCTTCCCTGTATATATCTCTGCATGGATCCATCTTTACCGCCATTTTTTTCCTCATTTAGTCCAAAAAGCAAACCACTTGGAGCCCCTGTTATAAATGAGTATGCTGATGCCCAGCTACACAACTTGGTGAAAAGGATGCGTCAAAGAACAATGCTCTACAAGAAAAAGTTGGCAGAAGGAGATATATCATCACCTGAAGCCAGCCCCCAAACTGGTAAGGTTTGTTACTTCAAAGTACTGGAAAGAAAGAAGTTATGAGGGGTCATGTATTTTACAAACGTCTTAGTTTGTGTTCCCCAAGAGCAGACCCTGAAACAATGACTTAGGTGCAAATAGTTTATATTGAGGGTGATCCAGGAAGGTGAAAGCAGACAAGAGAGATGGAGACAAGAGTTAAGACAATGAAGATGTATTAATGAGAGGGCTTCTTCTGTGGGCCTTCAGACTTGATCCAGCTAAAAAACTGGATCACACTTAAAAATTCTCCTGAGAAACCTCCCCACTGTTTCCCACAGTTGGTTGCAGCAATTAACATTCCCACCAACAGTGCAAGAGGATTCTTTTTTCTCCACAGCCTTGCCAATACTTGCTATTTCTTGTCTTTTTTGATACTAGCCATTCTGACTGATGTGAGGTGGTACCTCATTGTGGTTTTGATTTCTATTTCCCTGATGCTGAGTGATGTGGAGCATCTTTTCATGTGACTGTTGACCATCTGGATGTCTTCTTCGGAAAATTTGTCTATTCAAGTCTTCTGCTCATGTTTTAATTGGATTGTTTGGTTTTTTGGTGTTGAGTTGTGTAAGTTCTTCATGCATTTTGGAGGAAGTGGCCAGGGTATCATTCCACCAACTCCTGTTTTCCATTAGTTAAGGGTTACGGTTGGGGCATGTTGCTAACTCTCCAGCACTTTAAGCAAGCCATCTGAGAAAAAATGCTGAGGGAGACTGACACAGGGAGCCCTCTGCACAGGACCTTTAGACCAGGTGTTGCTTTGCTCATGGTATAGAAGCAAAGCAACAACAGTATCTGCTACGGCAAGTTTTATTATAAATATTAATTAAGAATACCCCTGATAGGGGTGCCTGGGTGGTTCAGTCGATTAATGTGATCTGCCTTCGGCTTAGGTCATGATCCCAGTGTCCTGGGATCAAGCCCTGCATTGGACTCCCTGCTCAGCAGAGAGTGCTTCTCCCTCTCCCACTCCCCCTGCTTGTAGGCATGTGTGTTCTCTCTCTCTCTCTCTCTCTCTCTCTCTCTGTCAAATAAATAAATAAAATCTTTTAAAAATACCCCTGACATACAAAGCACTTATAAAAATACAACACTACCTTAATACACAACATAGCAAAGAACATCAATTAATCACATGGCAGACTGGGGCAATTATCAGCCTCCCTAGTAATTGCAGAAATGTCTTTATGAAAAATTAATAAGTACAATAAAGCAGACCACAAAAATGATATATATTATGGTTATATCTTTGTAAAAATATTTATATATGTATAGATAAAAATAGAAGAAAATTTTGTTATTTGATAGCAGTTAAGAATCAAACTGTTAATTATATAAGATGGAGCTGAGGGGGGCACCTGGGTGGCTCAGTGGGTTAAGCCTCTGCCTTCAGCTCAGGTCATGATCTCAGGGTCCTGGGATCGAGCCCCACATCCGGCTCTCTGCTCCGCAGGGAGCCTGCTTCCCCCCACCCCCCCCACCTCTCTCTGCCTACTCTGCCTACTCTCTCTGTCAAATAAACAAATAAAATCTTTAAAAAAAAAAAAAGATGGAGCTGAGGGTTTCCTTATAATTCTGTACAAGATAAAAGGGATTTTTAAAATAAACTATATATTATATAGTATATATATATACACACTATATAGTATATATTATATACATTTATATAATAATATATTTGTAATTATATATATTATGCAGTTTCTTTTTTAAAAGAAGAAGCTATAATAAATCAGTCATTATATTTTGATAAAGATAAGTTAAAAAATATTTTGAGTTTTTTGCATAACTTGAAAGATATGTGTGAGACTAAAGAGGCATGAAATTAAAACCTATGGCATGATGTACATTTGTAATGATACTTTTCAATGTAAATCTAAAGGATTCTAACTTTATTTATGCTACAAATTATGTAAGAATTAGCTTGTTAAATGTTAAATAGGATGTTAAAATATCCTAATTTTGGGGTGCCTGGCTGGCTCAGTCAGTACAGTATGCAAATCTTGATCTTGGGGTTGTGAGTTTGAGTGCCAAATTGGGTGTAGAGATGTCTTTCTTTCTTTCGCTCTTTCTCTCTTTCTCTTTCTTTCTTTTTTTCCTTTGAGAGAGAGAGACAGAGAGAGTACACATAAGCAGGAAGAGAGGCAGAGAGAGAGTGAGAGAGAAGCAGGCCCACAGGAGCCTGACATGCAGTTCAATCCCAAGACCCTGGGATCATCACCTGGTGATCAGGATCATGACCAAAAGCAGATGCTTAACCAACTGAACCATCCACGTACCCCTAGAGATTACTTTAAATTAATTAATTAATTAAAATATGATATTTGTAACACCTTTAGGATAATTTACTGGGAAGCTTTAAATCTGCTGTTTATTTCAAATTTCAGTGTTTTTATTACCTGGATATTGTCATTAATGTAGCTATTTTCAAAGTCATAACACGCCTTATCTACCTAAATTGAGAAGGGAAGATTCTGGAATGTTCTGACTCGAGAAATCCAAGCTTTTCTCATTAAGCTAACCTAACCTCTTAAAAATGTGTTCTTTTTTTTTTTTCTCTATAAAGCAAAGCCCACAGCTATACCATCAACACAAGAAAGTAATGCTAAGCTAAAAGAAGAACATTACTATCACATACTGTGTTTTAAATTCCAGAAGATGCCTCTAACAGAGTACCTAAAACGAATTAGACTTCCAAGAAGCATAGATTCATACACAGGTACCAACAAAGGGTAGACTATCCCAGTGGGAGGGCTAGATATTACCAAAACCCCTGTAACCCAAAGTCACAGATGGCCTCCATTTCTCCCTAGTCCACATCCTGAATCCATCTAGAAAGCAGAATTTAAACTATATTAAATATGCAATGGATTGTTTGCCCCTCTCTGGTGAAGGGAAGATAAAATATTCCTGCCTGTTTTTAAAGGGCATGCCAGGATAATGAGGAATAAAGTAAATGTATAATCATCAAAATAGATAAGTGATTGATTGATTGTTTGATTAATAAAAATAAATAAATAAAAGGCAGTCCAGGGTCTATGCTGCTCATAATTACTTTTGAAAAGAAAGTCCCAAAGCATTCAATGATATGTACACTGACACCCTTTACCCAAAAAGTCATTATGAAGTGTCTGTCTTCTTCCATGCCTTCATGTTGTTGATTATTCTAACTGAACAAATCCTTTCCTATGGCCTCCCTTGGGCAGAAGAAAGCAACGTGTAAAAGGACATAGACTTCCTTAATGGGCTGATTCTCTGCCCTCTCCAGGTCAGCCATACTCGGCAAGATGTAGACAAAAAGCCATGGCAAGATGTGGCTTTTTGTCTACCTCCCTGGGTGACCCTGCATCTTAACTACCGATGCACAAAGTGCCTGCTGCTGCAGTTATCCAAACAGGGCATCTCTGGATTCCCTGGGTCTCTTCTTCCTTGATCCATGTAGCACAGTTACTTGTAGGGACAGACTCAGAAAGGCCACCTGTCAACAAGAGAGGAATGCCTCTCTCCAATGTCAGAAGAGCTGTAAGATCACTCAACAAGCCTTGTAAAGCTCAGTGCTTTCTACTGTAGAGTCAGAATTGCACTGAATTTTAATAGACCCTCTTATAACAATTTGCTTAGCTCCAGATGAAAGGGCTCCAATGTTACCAAACTAAGCAAGAGAATTATTTTAATGCTTGTTACATGCCATTTGGATTTTTCTAGATCGACACTATCTCCTGTGGCTTCTGCTCGTCACCATTGCTTATAACTGGAACTGCTGGCTTATACCACTGCGCTTCGTCTTTCCATATCAAACACCGGACAACACACACTATTGGTTTATTACAGACATCATATGTGATATCATCTACCTTTGCGATATGCTATTAATCCAGCCCAGACTCCAGTTTATAAAAGGAGGAGACATAATAGTAAGTGTAACTGGGGAAAAGCAGAAACTGACAAATATCAGATTGAACTACAAAAATAAATTTACAACACTATTTAATGTCTGACTGGATATCTCTGCCTGTATGAGTGTTTAATCACTGGAAACCACCAATACAGTAATAACGACAACAACAACAACAAAACAACCATTGAGAACTTACTATGTACAGGGGACCATGAATATCCCTGTGGTTTAGTTTCCTCATCTTAAAAATAGTAATAACAATAGTACCTTTATGGTGTTGATGGAAAGACTAAATGAAGTGATGCCTGGAACTATGTTGAGTGCCTAATGAGTGTATATTAAATGTTAGCTATCAGTAGTATTCCAGTTAATTTCTTTACAATGTCTCATTTAATCCTTTCAGTCACCCTATAATAAAGATATTATTAAAAGGAAGAGGAAACTGAGGCTTGGAGAGTGTAGGTGATATGCTCAAGGCACAAAGCTGAACAGCAGCTGAGGCAGAATTTAAATCCAGATCTTGACCCCAACACCCATGCTCATTCCAACTACACCATGTAGGTTCATTTGGCAAGTTTTTCAGAATTTGATAATATGTGAGGATAGAAAGATAAAACCAGGTCTGGAATGTCAAAACCATATACGTATTTTACCTAAATAATGTTTAAAAATGTATAAATTACGTATGCAAAAGAAGTGATTTAATAAATATTTCTCTAGTAAGCACACCTCAAGTAGTCTGAATAGAATAAGGCAGGTATTATAACACTCATTATTATCACTCAGCATCCTCAGGAGACAACCTGGTGTTGTGAGTACTAGGCTATAAGATTTCTAGGACACAGACTTTACCTTGTTTATCATTGCATAATCAGCACTGAGCACAATACCTGTACATAGTGCAGAAAACAAGTCTTAGATCTTGATACTTTGGGGAAACCTAACTTAAAAAGAAAAGAAAAGCTGTCATGAACCTTTTAATCAGTGTAGGTTCACTGCACTGTCCAATATAGTGGCCACTAAAGAGACGTGTCTATTCAAATTTAATTTTAATTAAGATTAAATAACATTAAAAATTCATTTCTCAGCCACACTATCAATATTTCCAGTGTCCAATAATCACATTTGGGTAAAGACTACCATATCAGAGAGCACAGGATATTTTCACCATTGCAAAATGTGCTATTAGAGAGTGCTCTAACAATGACCCATCAAGATCTTCACTGAGACAGCCAGACCATAAGTAGGAAGCCACACACCCTGCAGACAGGTGTATATCACAAGCACATAAAACACACCTGTGGTTTTGTGGGTTGTTTTAATTAATATGGTATCTGCTGGCATCTCTTCTATTCACTCTTCCACTTTCCATGTTTATCACATCCTAATTCTCACCATCAAATGCGCTGACCTACCTCAGAAACTACCATTCTTACCCTTAGGAGAAATTATTTTCTCCTAGATTTATTCTCAGTGTTGAGTGAATTTCATAAGCAATCCAGTCAACCTAACAGAAGAATACATTTTCACAAGCACATACCCAAATCTCAAAGCCTCTACTCCTCAGCCCCTTCCCCAGCTAACTAGAAGGATGCTTCCTTTACAACTGATGTCCACTGTAATATCCTCTTCACAATCTCAGTGGTAACTGCACAGAACAGACCCTCCAATGGCTCTGTCACAGTAGGAAGAGAAGACTGAGGGAATACATGGCTCCTTGGGTTCATACATATTCTTGAAAAATAAAGATGGGTTCTTTAATCTCCTGAATATTTTCTTTTGAGTCTACACACAGTGTTAAATTATCATAAAGCTGAAAGGAGAAGTTTTGGTTATTGTTTTCTTTTAGAAAAAAAAATTCCTGAAGAAATCCTCCTATTATTTGAAATCTTCCTAGAAAGAAGGCAAAAGCTATAGCTGTAGCAAGAATCTATTCAAAATAGTCCTTATGTGGACTTCAGAGCACTAGTCAGCTCACCAGTACTATCCCCAGAGCTCACTGGCAACTTGATAAATGATGATGGTGGTGTACAAATAAGAAGTAAACAACACACAAAAAAAAGAGCGCTAATTTCAACCTCCATTAGATGCACAAGGGGGGAGAAAATCAATGTTTGACAAATGGAAAATGACAAAATCAGTAAGGGGAGACTTATTTTCAATTTTCTAAAAGGCCCTTTTACACACAATGGAGTGTTAAAAACAAGAAAAATAACCAATAAAAACACACTCAGTGGGCTCTATTTAAAATGCATTATCACAAACTACAAATACAGAGCAGGAACTAATTGCTTTGTTTGTTCAAAAGAAATCTAATGGTTTCTTTAATTCAGAATAGGTGGTGTTAGCCTTTGAAACTTGATTACATTTTGGTAAGAAGACTATGCAAGTCAAGTACCCAAACTGGACATCTGACTAAATTTAGCTATCTATGCTACTTCTGGTACACTGTCAAATTATTCATTCACTTATTCACTCATTCATTCATTCATTCATTCAACAAACATTTATTAAATATCTTCAGTTGCCAGGTATTTCAGGGCTGGAAGATGGAAATATTAATTCCCCCAAGGCCTTGGAAAACAGATAAGTAACAAAAGTGCAAAAGGCCACAACAGAGGAAATTAGGAGGGTTTATAAGTTTTGCACAGTATTCATTTGCAATATCCTTCTTCTGAAAATGGTACTACACAAATAGAAGAATTTTGTATCAAAGACCAACAAAAGAGTCTCTTATCTGTAATTTCCTTCATAGACAGCAGAAATAAAGCTGAAAATGACAATGAGGATTAGAGATATGAGAATCATACCCACAACATTGCTAAACCTACCCATCACAATTCATGGAAATGCTCAGTGCTGCCTGGTGACGATGTCAATCAGACCTGATGTTGTAGTCAACCATTTTTGGCACTTTGTCTTCTCAGTTACTGTTTAGAAACTGACCTGAAGAAAATCAACCACTCCCTTCTCCATGCTCTGTACATTTTATTCATACTTCTATTATTTAATTGTTAAATAACAATGAGGCTAATTATGATATAGTAGAAACAAACAGACCAGGGTCAAATTCCACCTCTGCAATTTATTAATAGCATTACTTGAAGACAATAAATGTAACCTTTCAGTAAGTACTATCTTTTCATCCATAAAATGGGAATTATAGTGTCCACCTCATAAACCTATTATGAAGATTAAATAAGAAAATGTGTACACCTAAGCCAGAGTCTGGAATCTAGAAAATGTACAGTAAATTGTTAAATGAATCAAATGAATGAATATCCATACATTTAACTTCCCGTAATGTCTCCGATTTGTATCTGTAGTTCTCTTTCTTACCTGATAGTAAGTTTCTTGAGTGTAAGGACAGTATCCAATTCATTTCCCTCTCTATCTTAGGAACTCAGAGAGTATATTCAAGAAATATTTGAAGGAGGGGATAAATGGCAATTTTGGTTCAAGGATCTTCTCTCCTTGAATGATTATTTAATCTGCATTGTAGTTGCTTCAGATGACATTATTATTTTTGAAACACATCCATCTGTTCTACATGAAATTATGGCATTTCTATGAATTATTTATCAGAAGAGGTAAATATAATAGTACCTGTGTAGAACTTCTTCAAAAACTATCTTTTGGAGGAAGACTTAGGTGCAGTCAGCATATCCTTTCTAAAGTAAGCCTCTCCTGAAGAAATGTTACATGCATAATGATAAGGCTTAAAAAGAGAAAGAGAATTAAATGGGTAACATTGTTTAAGTAAGTGCCTAATTGTTACCAGTAAACATGCTGGTCGTCATAAAACTAACGACCCCAAATTTAACAATGCCAAATTTATTTAGTGCTCCAAAGAAGAGATATTTTAGAATCACTAGATCTCATTTTTATCTAATCAAAAAAGTTTTCATTTCATTTACATTTATTCAATCATAGAATCATAGACAAGCCTGAATGTAAAGGGATAAAAGTGCTAAAAACATTCTTCCGGGGTTGGAGGAGAGGGAGGTATTTTAACTTCGTAGCACTTGAAATGTTTCTGTCAGTCCCAGATAAGCTTTGAAGGAGCTAACTGATTTTACTCAAGCTTGGTACATGATTCAACTTAAACTTCTATCTATGTCTACCTGTGGTTCAGTAAGCCATTGAGTTTCACAGTAAAAATCATTAGAAGAGCATGTCTTATATATCTACTAATATATTTCTGTAAGATTTAGTATATATGTATGGGTAAAAATTACAGCCAAAATAGGGTGTGGGGAGCAGGAATTAGGAGCTGGCTAATCAGTAGTTAACACTGCTCAGCAGAAGTTTAAAACTTCTGAACTTGGATAGTCTGGATGGTAATTATTAAAAGACATTAATTCCAGGCATCCAGGTTCTAATGCTTTGGCCAACTCATTAATAGCACAAAGACTGTTCCTCCCTACCTATAACCAAAATCTAAGAAAGCAAATCCAATATTAGCATTAATTCTTTTAGGCCTGAATGGTAACAAATGCCTCTTAATCTATCACCTATCACATATTTATTGGGCACCTACTATGTGTTAGACATTGCTTGCATTAGAAACTGGAAAAACAAGACAAAGATATGGACCTCACCCTCAAGTAATTCAGCACATGAAAGACAGACAAAAGAAAAATGGTAGGGTTTGTAATGGGAGTCATGACAGTGATAAGCCCTAAGGGTTATGAGGCACAGAGAAAACCATGTGAAGGAGAGGACACCTGGTCCAAATCTTAATGAATGAACTTTAGTTATCTGCACACCTCCACCCCCACTAAAAGGGAACAAAACATATGTTCTAAGCTCTGAAAACAGCATAGGAAAGTCATGAAAGTGAGAAACTCTGATGCTGAATAAAGTGGATGTGGGATGCTGTAGGAGGCGAGTGAGACAGAGAAAGTAGAGCCTTTGTAGACCATGAAAGGGAGCTTGTATTTTTTTTTTAAGTCATGTGGAATCAGAGGATTTCGCATAAATGTTGATTGTTAAGTAATCTGATTTAGCATGATCATCTAGCTGCCATTATAGAATGGACCAAGGGGAACAAGTCTTAGGGCAAAAAGACCCATCCCAAAAGGATAGAATGGACATGAGGAAATTGTACTATATGCTGACTAATTGAACATAATAATAAAAAATAATAATAAAAAAATTGTGGAAAGGAAAATCAGTAGAATTGTTGCTGGATGGATGAGGGGGGCTGAGGGAGAATGTGTGATCTGGGATCACTGACCGGTATAGATGAGGATGCTCATAGGATTACCCAAGAAGAGGAAGGGTTGGAGGTGGGAAGATAGTTAGGCTAGTGGGGAGTGGAGAGTGATGATGAATTCACGTTTGGTGTAAATTAAATCTGAGATAAGCAGCACTGCTAAGTGAAGACAAAAGGCAGTTGCTTGTCCAGGTCAATAGCTCCAGAAAGTGACATTAGGTGGCAGTAGATACTTGTAACCATATAAGTGGATGAAATTTTCTAGGAAGCAAGTATAAAAAGGAAGAGAAGAGAGCTGAGTCCTGGGGAATGTTGGCATTTAAATGGCTATCCCTAGAATCAAAAAGGACACCAAAAAGTTAGAACTGAAGAAGTAAACCAAAAATGGCGTTTCAGAGTTTTTAGAAAGAGTTTCAGGAACAAATATCCCACCAAATATCAAATGCTTTAAAAAGTTTTATTTATCTTTCTGTTCCTTTATCTATTCATCTACTCAATAAGTATTTATTGGTTTCCTAATATATTCTAGCCACTAGCTATGTACAGTTAGCTGCTAAACGAAGTCAACCCTGTCCTGAGATAGATTACCATTTAATGGAATAAACTGATTTTAAATAAATGAGCCAAGAAATACATGTGTGATTTCAAAACATGGTAAATGCCATAAAAGAATGCTAAGTACTATAGAGGATTCCTTGGGCATGATCATGAGGAGGATGTTAGTGGCTGACTTCTCATTGGCAGTCTTACTGGAATAAGAGAAATGAGCAAAGGTCAAATTGCCATTAATTTGCCATGGGTTGAGGAATAAATATGACGGAAAGATGCAGAATAAAGCAATGCAGACAACTTTCTTAAGAAGCTTGAGTATGACAAACAATAGATCAATAGCAAAAAGAAAACAAATGACAAGGGAGATTTTATTCTATTTAAAGAGATGAGAGGATAGAGCGTATTTATTGGCTGAAATTACAAGGAACCAGTTGAGAGAAATAAGTATAAATATTTATTAAAGTGAGAAAATAACTGATGAAATTGAATATAATTAATATAAAATATAAATATAAAATTTCAGGTGGATTCAAATGAGTTAAAGAGACACTACAGGAGTTCTACAAAGTTTCAGGTAGGAGACTTACTGTTTCAGAATTGTTCAAATAATCATTACCATTTTGATTTTAAGTCCCATTTATAAATTTTTTTTTTTAATTTCCTTCATAGCCTTTGTAACAAAGTTTATACAGATGAAGTTCTAGGCAAAGGCAAGTCTAAAGTTTTTGCTTCTCAATAATTACATGATAGACTTCCATGAATGTGCAAGTGTGGAATTTAACATTCGGATCTTTATCAAGCACAACAAAACGTTAGCGCTCACATTTAAATTCTGATGAAAACGTCAGTAAAGGAGTATGGAGTATACTTTGTCTTGTCCATACAGAATGCTATCCTCCAATTCATATACCACGATGATGTAAAAGTCTATCCAATTTTTTCTAGTCTTATTTCTTTCTTGTTCATATAAACAAAATTTTAAAAAGAAGAAGCAATTATGTCAATAACATGAAACCTTTCTTTCCTCAAATAACAGTATAATTGTATGGTTTTTTCACTCATAATTATTTATACCCAAGTACTTTGTTATCTTTTATTTGTTCCTCCTAACTATGAGAAATAGACAAAGGTTTGGGAGTTCTCCAAAGTTACCCAATATGTATAGGTAAATTGCAAACTCCCATTTCAAGAAAAACACTTTTGTGGCCTCAGATTTTGTATAACAATACAAAGCTGGGGTTAGGTGTCAAATTGTCCCCATTGGTGATCTGTGGTGATTAAAATCTCTTTTCATTTGTTTTTTTTGTTGTTGTTTGTTTGTTTGTTTGTCTTGTTAGAGAGAGAGAGCAAGCACGTGGGAGCACAGGCAGACAGAGTGTCAGGCAGAGGCAGAGGGAGAAGCAGGCTCCCTGACGAGCAAGCAGCCCGATGTGGGACTCGATCCCAGAATCCTGGGATCATGACCTGAACCGAAGGCAGCTGCTTAACCAACTGAGCCACCCAGGCGTCCCTCTTTTAATTTGTTTTTATCTGCACCTAATTTTCTTTGTAAAAAAATTGCCATATACTCAGACATACTCATAATCTACACTACTTTGATGAACTCCACAAGAGGATGACTATTCTTCTTAAGTGTCACAAAACTTATTCCAAATTCTTAATCATTTTCTTGAATTTGAGTAAGTGAAATTAACTCATATATTTAATTTGGATGTATAAATGTAAAATTTTACATTTAATTGTGGTCACTCCTTTTGAATTCCCTTAACACATCCTGCTTCTCTAGAGCATTGTATTATAGCTATTTTTGTGTTTCATTATTCCACTATTAGATTGTGTAGACAGAAACATTTTACTCATTTCAACCTCAACATGTTTTGCAAAGTGCCTTGTACAAAGTTCAGTATTGGTCAGTTCTTACTCAATTCAACTTTCTACAATTCTATGAGAAATAAATCATCTTTAACAAGTTACATATTAATGTGTTAATATCAAACATGAGTAATGACTGCATAGATAATTCCAGTGGGCATTTGAGCAATTGGATACATAACAAGTAAAAAGACCACAATTCTGGCGCATTAATTCTAATACATTTCTTTTAAAATTTTTAAAAATATTATTATGATTTGAGCCGGAAAACATGGGTACCACCGTAGCTCTAGACAAGTCAACAGTTCCATGCTCCTGCTTTCTTGCTTATAAGACATTATTTTAGTAACTACTTCGTATACCTCTTAACTTGTTACAAACTCAATATCTGTAAGGTAAAATTAATGAGGTTTCAGGATATGATGTAATTTATAAACCAATACTTTCAGTAAGGATTTTTTTATAATAGCCAATGTGGTTAATTCAAACTGAAAGTTTTATTTCTTTTCAATAGCATGAAGCTATTGTGAAATTCTGATATGTAATTAACTGCCTCAACCTTCCCTTTTAATATGTGTGGCCGATAACAGAAAGCTCTTAACTGTTCCTATATGTCTTAAATACATTAAGTGTTTTTAAAATGTACTCTGTTTCAAAACCATGGTTTCAAAACCAAGTAAAAATGAACGAAAATGAATAAATCAATGAAAATGAATAATTATCTTACATAGAAGAATTTCTTACTGTCATCACTACAATCAAGAGGTGATGTTGCATTTTCGCAACTACCCAGGGAACAGAAAACCAGAATAATTAAATATGTGACAAATTTTAAAATACTTTTTTAGTTATAATAGTACTTTCAAAAGCTTCTTCTCTTGGAGTTACTGATTAATTGTAAATGGGACTGACCCTTCCCTCTGTCTTACCCTGCACACTATCTAATAGGTAGATTTCATAGCGGTTTATCGTTAGCAGTATCATCCCAAATGGTGAGCAATAGAAAGAACTGAGGCATCTGGATGAACCACCAACAATATAATCAGCCCTGAGTACAGGAGAATAGGCTGAAACATGAAAATATACAACTGCAGGGTGCGTGCGTGGCTCCATGGGTTAAGCACTTAAGAGTCTGCCTTCCACTTGGTCATGATCCGGGGGTCCTGAGATCCAGCCCCACATCCGGCTGCCTGCTCAGCTGGGAACCTGCTTCTCCCTCTCCCTTACCTGCCGCTAGCCCTGCTTGTGTGCATTGTCTCTCTCTTTTGTCAAATCAATAAATAAAATCTTTAAAAATATATATATACAATTGCAGTTAATGTGCAGTGATCTCAAAATCAAGAGTAGACTTGACTTTCAGCCCGAGTCCCATTTAAAATACATGTTAAAAATGTATTTGAACATTAGTCATGTTAGATATGATAGATAAGATAGATATGATAGATAAGATAGATAGATAAGATATGATAGATAAGATAGATATGTTAGATAAGATAGATAGATAAGATAGCCATGCCATCTCTGAAGTGTGTGTGACACTCAACAAAAATTGCAGAAAATGCGGTGCCTAAAGAGAGCTCAGATGCATGAAGGTAGAAATGAAATACATTGGAAATAGTCTACAAAATCTTTTTCTTATTTTCATGGTGCAAATATACCTTTCAGGGGCACCAGGCATACTACTGAAGGCAATTTTATATTAAACAACAAATAATTCATGGTGACTGGTCAGCTTATATACACATTGATATAAATCAATCCATGTCCAAAAAAGCACATAAACACAATATGATAGTGAATGTGTTTTTCCAACAGCTGGATATTGCATCAGTAATGCCGTTTGATGTTTTCTACCTCTTCTTTGGGTTTAATCCAATATTTAGGACAAATAGGATATTAAAGGTAAGATAACTATATTTAATTTTCTTTTATAGTAATGGTAATCTTGAAATGTTTTTAAATGTCTGAAAAGTATAATATTTTTAATTTAATTTTTCCCAAACTGTCCATTTTTCTGCCCTCATCAATACTATGAATTTTTTTAATTTTTTTATTCATTATTATTATTTTTTATAACATATAATGTATTTTTATCCCCAGGGGTACAGGTCTGTGAATCACCAGGTTTACACACTTCACAGCACTCACCATAGCACATACCATTCCCAATGTCCATAACCCTACCCCCCCTCCCCCCAGCAACCCTCAGTTTGTTTTGTGAGATTAAGAGTCACTTATGGTTTGTCTCCTTCCCGATCCCATCTTGTTCCATTTATTCTTCTCCTACCCCCCAAACCCCCCATGTTGCATTTCCACTGCCTCATATCAGGGAGATCATGTGATAGTTGTCTTTCTCCGATTGACTTATTTCACTAAGCATGATACCCTCTAGTTCCATCCACATCCTCGCAAATGGCAA